AGAGCTGCTCATGGAGGGCAACTCGTGGCCTCTGTTGGGCTTGAAGGACGAGCTGGTTCTGCTCCCCTTCCCATGAGGCTGCAGTTGCCCCATCACCACTGGTTCATACCTGGCTCTCCAATAAGCTCTGAGACTGTGGCCATCGTGCTGAAGGGTGGTGGGGTGGGGCGAGGAAGTGGAAGAGACAGACACTCTTTCCCGGGGGTGGGGGGGTGGCATGGCACTGGAGTTTAACGCATAGTCCATTCATGTATCTGCCGCAAGCTACTGGGCTCTGGATTAGTTCCATGTTCCTCTGGTGCCATGGCCATACCGGAGACCCGCTCATGGGGGGCAACTCATGGCCTCGGTTGGGCGTGAAGCTTTTGTCTTCTTTACTAAGTTTGTTCCTAAAATCTTAATTCTTATAGATGTGATTGCAAATGGAATTTTAAAAAGATACATCTCTCTTCTACTTCACTGCTAATACATAGAAGTGCAGAGTTTTGAATTTTGATTTTAGAGCCTCCCACTTTATTGTGTTAGTTTATTCATTCTACTGGGGCTGTTTTAGTGGGGGCTTTAGGATTTTCTATGTGTAGGATCGTACCCTCTGCATTTCCTTGGCAGTTTGTAACCCTGTAATTTCTTCAGTGTGAAGTTATGCTTAGGAAAGCATGTACATAGAGCCCACCAGCAGCTGAAAGAAGAACTCAAGCCACTATTAAACTGTAATTCATAGAAGCAGAACAGAAGTTATCAGGCAAGTCTGGGAAACAATTTTACTGGAAAAAAATTAAGTTCTGGGAAACATAAAGTTTAAATGAATATGCAAGTGACATCTGCACTTGTTTGTTTATTGCAGCACTGTTTACAATAGCTAGAATCTGGAAAAAAAAACCCGAGTGCCTGAGAACAGATGACTGGTTAAAAAAAAACGTTGGTACATCTGCACAATGGAGTACTATGTAGCTGTTAGAAAAGATGAAGTCATGAAATTTACATACAAGTGGTACTACATGGAAAGTATCATGCTAAGTGAAATGAGTCAGAAAGACAGGACATGGAAAGATTGCATTCATCTGGGGAACATAAAGTTACAAAATAGGAGACTAACACCCAAGAATAGCCAAGATAAGTACCAGTAGGTTTACTCTACAGTTTGGAGGCCAGCTGCACACGCTAGGGGAAATGACTGCTCAGATAGAGAAGGGAGCATCAAATAAAGGGTGTTCGGAGGATCATCCCAGGATGGGAGATGCATGCTGAAAGTAGACTATAGACTGAACGTGATTGCCACTCAATGCCTCTTGTGCAAACCACAGCACCCAAAAGGAGAGAGAGAGAACAAAAGGGAATGCCCTGCCACAGAGGAAGGAGGGGATGGGGGGATGGGGGGTGGGAGGGATACTGGGATCCATGGTGGTGGAAAATGGGCACTGGTGGAGGGATGGGTGTTCAATCATTGTATAACTGAAACCCAAGCACAAAAATTTGTAAGTGTACAACTGTACCTCATGGTGTTTCACTAATAAAAATTTTTAAATGAATATGCAAATGATGAATTCATCTGGTGAAAAGATACTTGAACTTCAGCTGAAGACAGCAGCCATGGTGTTGATGAGAACTTGGAGGAAGAACAGAAGCGAATGCTCTCATCGTCATTATTCAGCATTTTTTCTCTTTACCAACAAGTGCTAGGCACAGGGATGCTAGAGCAAGAAGGAGGCATGGTCTATGCCTTGTAGACCTGGATGCGTTGTGAGACAGGGAGACCAAGGAGCAGATCAATGAAGCACAAAGAAGTTGAAAGATGAGACAAAGCTCAGGGGATAGAAGGCCTCCCCAACTCAGATCAGAAAACAAGTAGAAGTCAAGCACTAAAAAGTTATGGAGAAACAACCTTTCAGTATTGCAAGTCATAATACTTAAAAGGGGGGAGAGAGAGATAGAGAGAGGGAGTTGGAGAGAGAGAGAGAGAGAGAGAGAGAGAGAGAGAGAGAGAGAAGTGCCCCTGCCATAGAGGCAGACTGGGGGTAGAATGGGGGCTGATGGGAGGGAAATTGGTTGGGGACACTGGTGCTGGGAAATTGGGAAATGTGGCTGGTGGAGAGATAGGTGTTGGAACACTGTATGACTAAAATCTAATCATAAACAGCTTTGTACGGGTCTATCTCACAGTGAGTGATTCAATAATTTAAAAAAAGTCATGGAGAGACAGCATCTCTAAAGGAATCATGGAAAATACAGAAGAGAGAGCTTATAATTGGTAATTATAATGACAAGTAATGCTGCTGGAGCTTTTAAGAGGGTGAACAATGGCAAGTGATGCTGGAGCCTTACCAAATGAGTGCAGCAACAAATAAATCATGCCCAAAAGCTGCAAAAGTTGACATTCCCATCGACAAGAAACTCCTGTGATTTCCTACACAAGAAAGACTCTTATGCAGCAAGGAAAATGCATGAGCTAGATCTTAACAAGTCAGCAGGACCTTGGTGAACCTAATGATGTTACCGTGAAAGAGGATTTTCCTAAGCTGGTGGGTTCTTAAGAATTGTATGAAAGATCTGCATATAAAATTTAAAAGTTTGTAATTAGTTTTATTGTACAGATGAGTAGATGGGTCCCTCCCCAGATGTCCAGGCCTCTCCTTTACCATATACGACATCACCAGTCCTGTCCCAGTTGCTGACTGGTGCTATGAATGACTGCCCTGTCTGATCCTACACGGTCTAGTCATTTCCCACGAATGCTAGATCCTGTCCCTGAACTGCTCTCTCTGTCCCACATACACTTTCCCCAGTCTACGGCCATAGCCGCCTGCTCATGGGCAAGATTCCAGTGCTCTGTGCTGGTGGCTGGGCCTCCCAATTGCACCCCAGCAGTTTCTGTCATCCTGTCCCATCTTTCCTAGTCTCCAGCCACCACCAAGTGATGTGGGTGGCACCTTGTCATCTGACCCTTGCCTGGGCCTGAGGTTTCCTGGGAGACCCAGCCCTGCTGTATACTGTCCCTGCCTGGGCACACAGTTCTACCTGAAAGAGGAGAGTCCAGAGAGTACTGCAGAGGGAGTGAGGGGGAGGGTGGAGAGGAAGGCAGAGAGAGAGACAGACAGACAGAGAGAGAGAGAGAGAGAGAGAGAGAGAGAGAGAGAGAGAGAAAAGAGAGAGGTGGGGAGCATTGGAAGGGAGGGGAGAGGGGAGGGGGAGAGCCAGCTGGGGAACTTCCTTTTATGTGCTACCAAATCCCACCCCCAACCATCCCAGTGTCCATTCTGATTGGCTACCTGTTTCATGGGCAGAGATTGAAACTGACCTACACTTCTGTTCCTGCTCATTAACATTAAATAGAGCAAGTAACGGGAGAAAACAGACTGTTGCTTATTAGGACACTTGCACATGTAGCAGGAGTAGAAAAAATAATTATCCAGGGTCCAAAGGGAATGGCTGTAATTCGGAGAACAGTTACCCAGGCTCTTCAACGGATGATCACGTTCCACTTCATAAACTGCTTGAACGTTATAACGGGTTTGCATTAGACATGCCATTACTGTCCACATCTGGGGAATTTTAGTGGCTCAGATGTGTCCTGATAGTGAATGGAGATGCCACCTGGCAGTGAATGAAAGTTCAGTAAACACAAAGCCCCACCAGAGACAATCATTGTTCAGAAATCGGATGCAAACATTGGTTCTGAGGTCAATGATCTGCATCTTCCACTAAGGAAGCTGTTACTTTATTCATGTACTTCAACTTGCCTTTTGTGAAGTGGATGTTCAGCAGTATGTCCCTTGTGGAGTTATTAGGGGGAAATTAATGATTTCATTCTGAAACAGTGCTGAAATAACGCCCAGGAGACCAAAAGCAGAGCAGCTAGCAGACTCTTGAACACCCTTCTCCATCAATACAAAACAACGTGGAAATTAGTAGTCACAATCCTGCCCTGAATTCATGGAACATTGAACAGGTTGCCAATACCCAAGTACAGAAAGTGGGGTTCTTTGCAGAAACAGTCACAGACAGGAAAGGTTGAATGAAATCAGCTGATACACCAGTTGCTGAGTGTACTCTCTCTTGAATGATGCAAGAGCTGGGACCGTCTTTAGAAGTGGGTTGCTGCATACGTGCTCACCTCTCTTCAGATTTTTCGCAAACTTTTTCCGGAAACTCTAAACCTGGAAAATCATCACCTCAGTGGCCTGACTCTCAGGCCCCGCCCCACCCCCCTCATACCACGCCCACCTCTCGGCCCCTCCTCTCAGGTCCCGCTTTGTCTGTCAGGTCTCGCTCCGCCCCCAGGTCCCGCCTCCATCTCTTAGGCCCCGCCTCATCTCTCAGGCCCCGCCCCCTCCTCTCAGGTTCTCTTGGGCCGCTCTTTGCCAGGTCTTTCCCCGCCCTTCAGGCCCCGCCCCATCCCTCAGGCCCCGCCCCCGCCTCGCAGGTTCTCTTGGGCCCCGCCTCGCCCCGCTTTGTCGGTCAGGTCTCGCCCTGCTCTTCAGGTTCCGCCTTCGTCTCTCAGGCCCCGCCCCATCCCTCAGGCCCCGCCCTCACCTCGCAGGTTCTCTTGGGCCCCTCTTTGTCAGGTCCCGCCCCGCTCTTCTGGCCCCGCCCCATCCCTCAGGCTCCGCCCCCGCCTCTCAGGTTCTCTAGAGCCCCGCCTCGCCCCGCTTTGTCTCTCAGGTCTCGCCCCGCCCTTCAGGTTCCGCCTATCTCTCAGACCCCGTCCCGCCCCGCCCCGCAGGCCCCGCCCCACCACTCAGCGCGGGCCACGTCGTTGGACTCCGCCCCCACGGGGGCGTGGCTAGCGTACGGGCGCCTGGGCGCGCTGACGTGCTAGGCGCCGCCCCCTGGGAGCCGGGCCAGCCCGCGCGAGCTGCCCCGGCGCTCGGCTGAAAGCGGGGAGGCGGGCCCAACCGCCGTCACTCGGAGCGGACCGCTGCGCGGGAAGCGGCTTGGCGGAGGCCCGGGCGAGCGTCGCGCGTCTCCCGGACGAGCTGCGGACGCGTCGCCCGGTCCCCCGGCATGCTGGACGCGGAGCCGCGGCTGCAGGTGGCGGCCGCCGACTTCGTGTCGCAGTACGAGAGCCTGTGCGCGCTGCAGGACGCGGCGCCGCTGGCCGACGTGCGCGCCTGCCTGCGGGAGGGTGAGCTGGACGTGCCGGCCGACCGCCTGCGCCTGGCCGACTGGACGCCGCTGCTGCGCGCGCTGCAGGCCGCCCGCGATCTGCCGCGCGTCGCCGTCCGGAGCTGCTTCCAGCCGCGACCCGGCGACGCAGGTCCGTGGGCGGCGGCGGGCGGGAGCGGGTCGGGACGTACGTGCCGCGAGCCCCGGAGCATCCACCCGGGCCCGAGCAGTGGGACGGGGAAGGGCGGGGCGGGCGGCAGCGGCTCCCGGGCGGCCTCGCGGGCTTGGTCACCATGGGACCTGGACTCCGTCGTCGGGAGAACGGTCTGGGTGCAGCCGCAGGTGCAGGTGCAAGCTCGGGGCGCTGCCGGGCGGTCCCTGGAGGGCGTCCCGAGAAGGCGCTTTAAAACTCCAGGAATAGTGGGATTGCACGGCGTGGCCCCGTGAGATCGTGAGAACCACTGATTCCTGATACAGGGTCGATTCTTTTCGGTCGCACTGGCGGGACCGTGACTCACAGTGCAGTTGTGCACGGTCGGGTTTCATGCATCCGACTCCGGACCAGAGAGAGAGTTCAGCACCGCAATAAGTTCCCCGAGCCCCTGCCAGGAGTGACACCTGAGCACCATCAGGTGTGATCCTTGAGCACAGAGCCAGAAGGAATCCTTGAGCATGGCCTGGTGTGGCCCAAAGTCACTCCCTAAACAGACAGACCGACCCCTAACCCTCCGAGTGACCTCTTCCTTCCACCGTTATCCCAGGTCCCGCGCTGGGTGAGCCTAATTCTGCTGACCCTTCTTCGGCTCCTGTTGCCTTTGTTCGTGCAGGTTATCTCTCCTGCCACCCCACAAGTGTACAGTGGCACTGAGCACATGGTTTTTGATAAGGGCATCCCTCGTTGCAGTGTCCTGGCATTCTGGCCCAGCTCTGCACACTTGCTCCGCTGCCCGGCAGGAAATAGCGAGCAGTAGGCGCTGAGCACCACAGGTGTGAGCCCAAACCGGAAAAAAAAACCTATTGAATTCCTTTTCAGCATCTTTTTATCTCTTGCAGCCAGTGAGTTGGTCCTGAGCATGCTATTTACGTTTCCATCAATAAAGGACACCCCCCCCCACTTTTTTTTTGGAGGGGAACACACCCAGTGATACTCAGGATGTATACCTGGCTCTGCTCAGGGATCATTCCTTACCAGACTTATGGGATCAACCCCAGGTCGTCCAAATGTCAGGCAGGCTTCCTATTATCTCTGGCCCCTGGGGACCCTTTTATGCCTGAGCACTCTTTCCAGGGCTCTAGGGATCCAAGTATATGAAAGAGGTAAACAGATCAAACACTTTCTGAGGATGACGCAAGCCCAGGGATCTTGCTCTGAAAAGAGGCGGCACCATGGGGGTGTACTGAAAAGCAGGGTGGCGGCAGTGACAGGAATGGAACTCTGGAGCCCTTGACCTGGGACATCTTTTCTGGCCCTGTACTGTAGTACTGTCCTGTAGCACTGTCCTCCCATTGTTCATCGATTTGCTGAAGCGGGCACTTGTTGGTACTTTTTTTGGCATATCAAATACGCCACAGGGAGCTTGTCAGGCTCCTCCATACAGCTGGATACTCTCAGCAGCTTCCTGGGCTCTCGTAGAGGGGCAGAGGAATCGAACTCGGGTCAGCTGCGTGCAAGGATCCCGTGTGCCTCCCAAATCATTCTGGTCATTGAGAGCCTTGGACGGGGTTGTCCTGAAACCGTCCCTTTGGTGTTTGCTTCCATAGAAACATCTGTAAATACCATGACTCTGTGTCTCGGAGGCTCAGGCCTTTGTTTGTTTACTTGGGGGAGGGGACTCAGTCTTCTGAGTCCACGGCCATCCCTTGTGAAAAAAGGAGTTAGAGGGTTGGAATCCTTTGACACCTAAGCACAGAGCAGATGCTTTCTGAGTAAAAAATCAACATGTGGTTAAAAATCACACGTTTTGCCACCTTGTTGGTCTAGGTTTCGAGAGAAGTAAAATCTGCAGGAGCCGCATTCCTGCAATACGCAGCAAAGATGTGACTTACCAGTTGTGCAAATCTCTTAAATGCTGTTTGAGTGCCTCTGGTGCTCTCAGGAGCCTGGAGCTCAATGGACTAGTTCTGAGAGAGAGAGATTTAATCGTCCTAACAAAGGTAAGTCTGGGGAAGTTCGGTCGGTGGACATTGGGTCCTTGCTCCTCGGGGGAAGGCCCTCCCGTTGATCGTCTATTTGCTCGAGCGGGCCCAGTAACGTCTCCATTGGAGACTTTGTTGTTACTGTGTCTGGCATATCGAAGACTCTCGGTAGCTTGCCGGGCTCTCCGAGAGGGGTGGAGGAATCGAACTTGGGTCGGCCATGTTGGCCGCTTGTAAGGCGAACGCCCTACCCGCTGTGCTATTGCTCCAGCCCGGGGGAAACTAAACTTAATTTTTTTGTTTGTTTGTTTACCTTTCTTCATTAAAGGGATTGAATAAGTCTGCTGCGTTGGTGCACCTGTCTCTTGCCAACTGTCCAATTGGAGATACAGGTTTAGAAAGTGAGTTTCAATCATGTTTAAGTCTCTTCCCATCATATTGCTGCCATGTTCATTCCTGTCTGCAACTTTTCTGTTTTTTTTTTTCTTTGTTTTCGTTTTGGAGCCAGCTCAACAGTTCTCAGGGGTTACTCCTGGCAGTGCTTGGGGGACCACATGGGATGCTGGGAATCGAACCTGAGTCCGCCACGTGCAAGGCAGATGTCCTCCCGGCTGTACAATGGCTCCGGCACTTTTCCTCTGTCTGGAATACCTTCTATGCTTGTCCAAGACTTGAACCAGGTCCCTTGTGCCACGAGAGCTTGCTGTACTGAATAGCACTGTAGCACTGTCCTCCCATTGTTCATCGATTTGCCTGAGCGGGCACCAGTAACGTCTCCATTGTGAGACTTGGTACTGTTTTTGGCATATCAAATACGCCATGGGAGCTTGCCAGGCTCTGCCTTGCAGTTGGGATACTCTTAGTAGCTTGCCGGGCTTTCCGAGAGGGACGGAGGAATCGAACCCGGGTTGACCACGTGCAAGTGGTCTGCTGTGCTATCGCTCCAGCCCATTGTACTGAATACCCTGAACTAGTGATAGCACAGCGGTAGGGCGTTCGCCTTACAAGTGGCCAACATGGCCGACCCGAGTTCGATTCCTCCGCCCCTCTTGGAGAGCCCGGCAAGCTACTGAGAGTATTCGATATGCCAAACACAGTAACAACAAAGTCTCCAATGGAGACGTTACTGGGCCCGCTCGAGCAAATCGACGATCAACGGGAGGGCCTTTACCTTACCTTTACCTAATTCTTACTGAAGGCTCTGTAATGCCCAAAGACACACAAATATGTTCTAGCTTGTATTTTGTCTTTTCTGTGGACGTACCTCTTTTTATTATTCTAACCCAAGAAATATTTATGGTAAAGAAACTAGCAAGATGTAAAAAGGAAAGAAGAAAAAGCCATCAAGTTGTTGTTGTTATTTGTATTTGGGTCACCCCAGCAGTGCTCTGTGCTCACTCCTGGCTCTGCGCTCAGGGATCTCTCCTGGCAGGGTTCAGGGAATCTTATATAGTGATGGAGATTGAACCTGGGTCAGTCGTCTGTAAGGCCAGTACCTTAATTCCTGTTCTATCACACAAGCCCAAGGCCATCAATATTTTAAAATCATGACCACTAAAGCATTCATATTATGCCTTTATAACTACAACACATTGTGACATGTGCTGCATGTGACATATGTAACATATGATCACACAAGCAGAGTGCTGTGGGCATATAGAAAAGCTGGTACGCTTGGTTGTATTTGGGGCTGGGCTGTGACATGACAGTTATCCTGGGCTAAGTGGCCATAGATGGGTGTGCTGAAGAATTTGTGATTGCTCTGTGGGCCGTTATGGTCTGGAGGCTAAAGAAGCCTGTGTTGTTAGTTCCAGGTTTACCGATTGTTTGAGATCCTCTGTGTTTTATTGCTCTGGTAGATTGCATACCTCCCGATAAAATTCTGGATCTAGAGGTGCTATCTAATTATTGGTCACAGTCAGGGCATTGGATCAGTATTTTCATTTCATTGTATATGAAAATAGGAAGCTTTTGATACATTTTGAAGTTTTTTATTTGTCTCAGTGCTTTATAGAGTGTTGAGACTAAAGTTTGCAATATTACGCATATCCAATAATTGTATATAGCACTGTAGCACTGTCCTCCCATTGTTCATCGATTCGCTTGAGTGGGCATCAGTAACGTCTCCATTGTGAGACTTCTTGTTACTGTTTTTTGGCATATTGAATATGTCATGGGCAGCTTGCCAGGCTTTGCCGTGAGGGTGAGATACTCTTGGTAGCTTGCCCGAGCGGGGCAGAGAAATCAAACCCAGGGCGGAGGAATCAAACCCGGGTCAGCCACATGGAAGGCAAAGGCCCTACCCACTGCGCTATCATTTCGGCCCCAATTGTATATAAATATAATTAATTATTTCTGCAAATTAAGAAAACTATTGCTGATATATTTTTGAGTGCATCAGTTCATCAGTTAGCCAGGAAGATTGTAGTAATGGCTTTCGGACTTGTGGGAGATCATCCTCCTGCCAGCACCCAAGCCCGGGGTCAGAGTAGTCCCTTGGCAAAACACCATCGATCTTTGAATATCAGTGGGCGGGAAAAAATGCACTCAGGAAAGAATAGATCACAGGACAAGCAAAACGTTCCCAGGAGAGAATAGAATAAAATGGTTTCGTTTTCTAGACATAGAGGGCAGCATGGGCGAAAAGAGAGTAGGAAACTGTCAGCTTCTTACTCTATATTTCAAGGTCCCTACTGGTGGCCTGTGTGAAATCCCATTCTCTCCTCTTAGTCTACCCACTGAATTTTGATGGGCTTATTAACTGTGTTTAATGTTTCTGTCAATTTAAACCGTAATCTACATGTTCGGAGCAGCGTGGGGTGTGATACTCTGTTGAATAAATGATGAGGCTCTGTGCTCACTCATGGCTGCTCAGGAGGCCATAAATCTTGGAGAGGGACAGTCCGTGCTCTTGCTGTGTGTGTCTCATTCTCTGTGACCGACCCCCGCTGGATGGAGGTCATAGGTGCCAATCCTACTGGCTTTAGATAGTCACTTGGAAGCTCAAGGAGAATGACTAAACCAACATTGATCTGATGTCAGGCTTTTCTTCTTAACCGTGGATGTCATCTTTTCTCCTTTTAGTTATTTGTCAAGGCATAAAGAACTCTGTCACTCTGAAGACAGTGGACTTCACGGGATGCAACCTTACGTGGCAGGGGGCTGGTCACATGGCCAAGATCTTAAAGGTGATTTTATGCTCGTGGTTTCCCAAGAACATACACAGGATTAAAGCACACTAATACTTTGGTACAATATAACAATTATTTTTTGTGTTTTGATGCATGTGGCAAGTGCAAGCCTAGTTTCCTGAAAGAATACAGACTTATTACAGCTTGGTATCCTACCAGTTAGTAAAAGTGCCCTCATGTTATAGGAATAAAAGACTAATGTATAAAATTTGAACTCTGTGGGGGTCAGAGAGATCGTGCAGGGGTAAGTCCTTGCATGTGACCAACCCAGATTTGATCCCTGGCACTTCTTACGGTCCCCAGTCCCTGCCAGAAGTCAATCTCTGACAACAGGAGTCAGCCCTCAGCAGTTGGGTTTGGTCCAGACCGAACTCAAACAAAACAGGAGCAATACTTTCATGGAGTTTCAATTAGTGAAAATAACGTGGTACTGGGGTAAAAACTTCATGAGTTTCAAAATTCTTAGTTGACCATATATTATTAACTATTTTATAAACTAATAAAAATAGCTCTATTAGCATTTAAGGTCACTTTTTAAATAACAATTTATTGTGATTATAACTACTAGACTAAACTATAGTGACTTTTTTTCCTGTTTTGGAGCCATACCTGGCAGTGCTCAGGGCTTACTCATGGCTCAGGGATCCCTCCTGGCGGTGCTCGAGGGACCCTGTAAGGTGCCAGAGCCAGCCACATGCAGAGAAAGTTCTTTTTGCCCCTTACTGTCTCCCCAGCCCCTAAGTGACTTAATTTGATTTTTATGATTTTGATGGTACTGATTAGAGGTAGATAAAATGGCCAAAGTCCAGCCCATCCAGCCCTGCATTTATAGGAATGCTTTTGAGGGAACTTAGCTGCCCCTGTTAGCTTTCTAATGGCTTTGGCTTTCACCCTGTGAGAATGGAGTTGAGTAGTTACAGGAGAAACTGGGGGAGCAGGATGTGTGGCTGGAAAATTTTGTTGAGGTCCTATATACAGAGAAAATCCGCTGGTCCCAGATTTGGAAAATGGTCAGGAGCATGGATCTGAACCCAAAACATAGGTTTAAATCCCAGCTCTTTTCATTTAAGTTACTCATGACTTTGGACACATTACATAGTTAAGGTTAAGTGGACTGATTTTCATTGAATAGTGACTGACATAGAATACATATTATGAAGCTACTGTTTTCCCCATTTGTTTGCTTTTGTATATTATTAATAGCGAAATGACAAGAGTTTCACTTTAGCGTGTCAGAGGAACTTTGAGGCTTTGTTGTTAAGAATGTAATAAAGAGATTGGAGAGATAGAACAGTTGATAAGGCACTCGCCTTGCATGCAGCCAACACGGGTTTGGTATCTAGTCTCCCCGAACCACTGCCAGGTGTGATCTCAGAGCTCAGAGGTGGCAGGAAGCCCTGAGCACTGCCAAATATTCTCTCTTCTCCCCCGAACCCCCAACAGAAAACTACTAAAGTACTTTTCCTTGAAGGTCAGTTCTTCCTATTAACAAGTTTGCTTTGTGAATCTAGAGAGCTGAATGTATCTTTTAAAGAGGCATATTTTAAAAGTGAACCAAAAATTGCATGAGGTGTGTCAAATTTGTGTTGTATAGTCCAGACCTCTGATATTGGCTTGCAGACCCTAACCAGTATGTGAGATCCACTGGAGGAAGAGAAGAAAATGGTCAATTCTGATTTCTGTTTTTGTTTCATATACGAAACATGCGGTTTTTAGGGATCAGGAAAATAGAATTGCTGTTTTCTTTTTTAGCTTGTTTTGGTTTTGGACAACACCCCTGTTAGTGCTCAGGGGTTCCTCCGGCTCATGTTCAGGGTTCAGTCCTGGTGAGGCTGGGGAACCATATGGGTGCTGGGGATTGAACCTGGGTCAGAGGCATGCAAGGCAAGGCCCTCTACTATCTCACCAGCTCTACCATGAATGATAGAATTTAGAACCAGCTCCCTGACTGGGTAGATAAGGAAATCACATGTACAGAATAAATGTCATTAAGTTGTCTAAAGTTCGCATAAATAAGCATAATTGATCACTCAGTGGCCAGTGTGAAGCTCACCACTAACCGACTAACATCCTGGTCTTTGAGCGCCCAAACCAGAGCCACTGTTGAATCAGACTGACACATTGTGTGTGCTTGGGACACGTTCGCGGCCCCTGGGAGTTACTGACGTAGTGAGACTGCGTCCTCCATGGGGACACCCTCTGCTGCCTTACTCACATGTCTTTTTCATCTCACCCTTTACATCTTTGAAGTATCAGACCATTAGAAGGCATGAAGAAACCTGGGCTGAGAGTCTTCGTTATAGAAGACCTGATCTTGACTGTATGGCTGGCTTAAGACGCATCACTTTGAATTGCAACTCACTCATTGGTGACCTGGGCGCAAGCGCTTTTGCAGAATGTCTTGGTGAAGATTTATGGCTTAGAGGTAAATGCTACATTAGGGAATACTGGATTTTGTAATATTAAATGTGCTTTGCTTTTGGCCTGAGAGTGTTGCTATGGGACACTATTTTATTTTTTTAAGCCTACTGTTCTCTAATAGCTTTTATAAGCCTATTGTTCTCTAATAGCTTTTATAATGCTTCTAAATTTTTTTAAAATTTGCATACATTCTTTGTAAAAACATGACTTTATAAAAAGTAATCAAAAATGACCCCAGACTCTTAATACATGGACGTAATCATTGTTCACTTGGTCTTTGCACTGTAGGTCTTTTTTCTGTAGACTGATTTGTATACTTACAAGTTTATAAAAGTAAAACCATAGTATACACTTTCATATTCTGCTTTTTCCTGATGCTCTGTGATGTAATACTGTTACAGTGATGGAGAGCATTTGTGCTTTTTTTTGTTTTGTTTTCATATTGGAGACCATGTGTAGTAAACATCTGTGTATCTCCATGTGCCCTGGGGTCCTCTTTGGAAGAAAGCAGTGTCTGTAAAGTCACTGGCTGGAATAGCAGTGCAGGATTGCTGTGTGGTTCTGTCCACCCTCATAGTAATATGGTATATGTGAAAGTTTTTTGCACTTACACAGTGGTATGTGCCACTCCTAAAATCTGTAAAGCTGTAGAAAGAAGCACAGGCTTTTTTTTTAGCAATAGCACAGCCGTAGGGTGTTTGCCTTGCGTGCAGCCAGCCTGACTGAGCCAGGTTCGATTCCTTCGCCCCTCTCAGAGAGCCTGGCAAGCTACCAAGAGTATTCAGTATGCCAAACACAGTAACAAGAAGTCTCACAATGGAGACGTTACTGGGCCCGCTCGAGCAAATCGATGAACAACGGGAGGACAGTGTTTGTTTTTGGTTTTTGTTTTTTTTTATTTTTGCTTTTTGGGTCACACCCGGTGGTGCATAGGGGTTCCTTCTAGCTCTGCACTCAGGAATTAACTCCTGGCGGTAGCTCAGGGGACCATATGGGATGCTGGGAATCGAACCCGGGTCGGCTGCATGCAAGGCAAACGCCCTACCCGCTGTGCTATCACTCCAGTCCCAGAAGCACAACCTTTTTAATGCAAATTTGATTCAGTAATTTTTCCACTTTGTAGAGTACCAGCATCTTCACAGGCATGCCAGTTTACAGCTGCCACATCAGTTTTAGTAGAGTTCAGTTCTAAGAGTCTGCATAAGCACATTCTGTGTCTTCCTTTTAAATCTGTAGACTTTTTCTAGTTTTTCCACTCTGCGAGCATCCTGTCCACATCTGTTGATTTCCTGTGGTTAAATTATTAGAAAGAATTGTTCATAAAGGCATTGCATTTGTATGGCTTTTTTGTTATATGATTTTGGCCTAATCTGGTTAGGAGGATAATCACATTGTGGTGTTTTAATTTGTTTTCTTGTGATTTGCTGGTGAGATTTTCAGGCTATTTTAATTCATTTGGCTAGTTGGTTATTGATGGCCTGGGCACACTAAACTGTGCTGACACTTTATACAGGTCACATCATGTTCTGGCAAAACCCATGTGCATCACGAGTTTGAAAACTTTGTTGGTGTAATTCGGCTTTTTTTTTTTAAAAGCTGCCATTAGAATGAACTCATACATTTTTGTTTTTTTTAATACCTGTCCTTGTGTGCCGTTTCCTCTGGTTTAAATGATTGTTCAGTCTCATCCCAAAGATCATTTGTTCTTTCTTACCTGTAATAGGGGTAGTTTTCAGTCATCAGTCTTTGTGATTATTTTGTTTTTTTTCCCTACAGCTAATATTCACATTGTCTTTAGCTTTGTGTTACTTGCATCCTCTTAGATTCTTTGTCTAAAAATAACAGTTTTTACAATTTTGATTTTCCTTTTAATTTGGTCTCAAGACGGATTTGGAGCCAGAGATCATGGTGGAAAGAATCACGATCATGATCACGATCATCCTGTTGTTCGTCGATTGCCTCGAGCAGGCCCCAGTAACGTCTCCTTCGTCCTAGCCCTGAGATTCTAAAAAGTACCACATTCAAGGCTCTTTCAGGGTTAGGAGAATGAGACCCATCATTGTTACTGGTATTTGGCATATTGGGTACGCCACGGGGAGTTTGCCAGACTCTGGTACATTTACTAAGCTCTACTTAGGCCTTGCCCATGAGGTGTACATTTGCTGTTAACCTTGTTATAATAGCAGGCTATTATTTTTATTATAATAGTAATAATGTAAACTTATAATAGTAAACTGAGGTGCAGTTTATTTTTTTACCTATAAGCTTAATATATATCCTTTGAGTCTATAATAAAATATGTGATTTGTTGGTTCTTAAGGCAGAATAATCTTGGCACATCCACGAAGGGGTTTTACTTTTTGTTGCTAGCACATTGTGTTTACTGACTTTTCTCTTTTTGTTTATTTACTCCTCCATTTTTTTTCATTGACCCATGGGTAAACTGTACCCTGATTCTCAGTGTACAGGGATCTCCTTTCACACATGAATTTGTGAGTGTTATCTGCATGTTCAGTATACGTAGAGTTGCAAATGATCTCTTGTCTTTCGTCCAAAGCACTTGACCTGCAAGCATGTGGCATTACTAATGAAGGAGCAGAGGCTTTGTTGAAGGGCCTTGAAAACAATAAAACGCTGGTGGTTCTGGACATAAGGAAAAATCCGCTCATTGGTACGTCAACCACGTTTTAAAAAACTTGATTAGCAAATAGCAAAAAATAATAATGGTTTGCTCATTGTTTTCTTTCCTAATCAGAATTTGCTAGTCTGGAACATCTTGTATATTTTTAGCAAATTATTTATTAATAGGGCTGGAGCGATAGCATAGTGGTAGGGCGTTTGCCTTATAAGCGGCCAACATGGCCAACCCGAGTTCGATTCCTCCACCCCTCTCGGAGAGCCAGGCAAGCTACCGAGAGGATCTTGCCCGCACGGCAGAGCCTGGCAAGCTCCCCATGATGTATTCGATATGCCAGACACAGTAACAACAAGTCTCATGATGGAGACGTTACTGGACCCATTCGAGCAAATCGATGAACAATGGGAGGACCATGCTTACCATGAATTTATTAATTAAAATGAGTTATTTTTGTGTGTTGCTTTTGACTAGTTGCTATATTTGATTCGATGATAAACCTGTTTCCACAAAGCATTATTTTCTTGTTGGGGAACTATTGAATTCTTACAAAGAGCATTTCATTCATTGGTCAGTTTTGTAATACATTTTTTCTATTATTTTCATTTCAGACATGGCTTTAGGCACCAGAGGTGGAAAAGTGAAGCAGATAGGGTTGGAGTAATAGTACAGAAGGGAAAGCATTTGCCTTACATGTGGCCAACCCGGGTTTTTTCCCTGGCAGCTCGTATGGTCCTCTGATCCTCTCCAGGAATAAGCTTAGGTGTGGCCCCCAAACCAAACAAAAAATAAGTAGAAGTGAACCAGATAGACAGGAATCTCATCCTTATGAGTTTATAGTCTGTTGGAGGAGCTCAGATAGAAATGAGTCAGATTAATACCATTCTGGATGATAGGAAGAGGGACAAAAAATCCTTTGATGCCAAAAAGAGGAAAGGAGACAGGAAAGACCATTCGGTCGGCTTGTTGGAGACAGCTTCAGAGGAGCAGTGACATGAGCAGATGGCTGAGCGCAGGGAGGGACAAGCCTTGGAAGACCCGGGGATGCATACCAAGACAGGGAAGCTGCCCTCTGCAAGCAGGTCAGTGGTGGGGCAGGTGGCCCGGTGAAGGAAGGGAAAGGGTGAGGGAGCTGGAGCATTTGAGTGAGAGAGAAGGTGACATACTGTGAGGTCAAGGATCTGGTCAACGCTGGTTCTTGTGAGTTCTTGAAGGCCCAAGGAAGGACATGTTATTTTCAGTGAGAGGAACGCCAGAGGGGGGTTTGCACAGGATGAGAAATGTTCTGTGAAGCGAGAAACTGAGGAGAGGAGGACGAAAGGGGAACAGGAAGCCTACGAAGGTTTTCTCAAAGGGCTGGAGCGACAGTCCAGTGGGTGGGCACTTGCACGCGGCCAACCCAGTTCCATCCCCAGTACCTGCAGGAGAGATTCCTTGAGTACCGCTAGGTGAGGCCCCCAAACCAAACAGAATGAGACTAATCAAGGAGCTCCAGTATGAGAGAGAGCTTCAACTTAGCTGGGGGAGGAAAGTTGGAACTGGTTCAACGTGGTTGTATTTTAAGACTAGCGAACAAGATGTGCAGCGTTGTGAGATGTAGCCTTTGCAGGAAATTGTCGTAAAGAGCCAGAGGCTCGTGTGTGCCCTGGGCAACATCGTTGATGAGAATGGAGACCAGGAGAGAGTGTTCTGGGGGAGTGCCACGACCACTGGGTCCTTAGTGTCTGAGCAGTGCACAGGCTCTTTGCGTCCTGTCCAGAGGCACCCAGTGCCACTTTAGATTTGGTGTTTGCATTTGATCTTCGCTGCGGTCAAAATAGCCATGTGAGGGCCTCGTAGAAGCTCACATCCCTGTTTGATTCTGCTTCAGTGTTGGGAATTAAGCCGAGGACCTCAATATTTAAAGCGCCAGCTCTTCCCCCGTGCACTGCCTGCCTCCCCCAGCCTGACCCCCTCCCATATGAGGGAGGATAGCACAGCGGTAGGGCATTTGCCTTGCACACAGCCAACATGGCCGACCCGAGTTCGATTCCTCCGCCCTTCTCGGAGAGCCCGGCAAGCTACCGAGAGTATTCGATATGCCAGACACAGTAACAACAAAGTCTCCAATGGAGACTTTACTGGGCCCGCTCAAGCAAATCGATGATCAACGGGAGGGCCTTTACTTACTTTACTTTAGCATCATTGCATAATAGGGGTTGCATGCTTAATTAAAGAGCAAAATCAATTGTTAGTTGGCATTGGGTTTAAATGGAGATGCCCACTTACTGAGAAACAGTGGCTATAATTTCAGTTTCTGTTCTCCTTTAGATCATTCTGTGATGAAAGCAGTTATCAAAAGAGTTCTCCAGAATGGAAGAAGTGCAAAGTCAGAGGTATAATAAGTTTTTTTTCCCTAATCAGAATTTCTCTTTAGTGCTTGTTTTCTTTTTTAAAGTGAACTGAGGGGACCAGAGTGATAGTACAGTGGGTAGGGCCTTGCATGCGGCTGACCTGGGTTCATCCCATATGGTCCCCCAAGCACCATCAGAAGTAATTCCTGAGTGCAGAGCCAGGAGTAATCCTGAGCATCGCTGGGTGTGATCCAAAAAGAAAAAAAAAGTGACCTGAAATGGGCAAGGTACTTTTCTCTTAAGACAACTTGATTGTCTTGTTTCTGTTAAAACAACTTGATTCTGTTATACAACTTCATTAGCTTCATTCAAGTTTTTTTTTTTTTTTTTGATCACACGGCGATGCACAGGGGTTACTCCTGGCTCATTGACTCAGGAATTACTCCTGGCAATGCTCGGAGGACCATATGGGATGCTGGGAATGGAACCCAGGTTGGCCACGTGCAAGGCAAATGCCCTACCCACTGTGCTATCGCTCCAACCCTAGGAGGAGGCTTTCGTAGGCAATGCTGGAATGGGGGCGGAGGGGTCACTCTCAGCGGTGGTCAGGGGACCTTGTGGGAGAGGGGTTGAACTCTGATCTCCAGCATGAAAAGCATGCATTCTAGCTGGTTGAGCTATCTCTCCAGCCCTACTCTGTTGTTTAAACTATTGTTTGATTCATTAATCTGGGGACCCAGAAGTTCGTACTGTGAACTTTCTATTAACTTAAAATAACTTAATAATGTCTAACTCTCCTCAATTACCTTTAGCTGAAATGGAATATTTATATTTCTCCTCTAGTACCAATGGATAACTTCTCCATCAACAAAGGAACCATCAAAAACTGCTAAACAGAAAAAGAAAACTATAATTCTGGGAAGTGGCAGAAAAGGAAAAGCTACTATTCGAATTGGTAATCTTTTCTGTCCTGAATTATTAAGAATATTCAAAATACTACTAGAAATTATACTGTTTGTGTGTTCCAGTGTGCCGAAATCTCTTAGGATCTTATTTCATGAATTGTAGGTAATAATTGCAGTATCTACATGTCTATTAGTATATTAATTGTTTTGATACATACATAAAACATTTATAGTGTTGCAGAGTGAGAGGTTAGCCAAGAAGTCTCATATATACTTGTTTGCCGAGTTGAAGAACCTTTATAACTGGCAGTGGCTGTCGAGACTGAGAGCAAGGGTCCCTGAGTACTGAACATTGAAATCCAGCCCCAAATCTAAGTCCAGACAAAATTTTTATACATTCTTATCACATCCTGCTTGGCAATTATCAATTGACTTTCTTCTAGCTAAGCAAGCAATCATAATTTTAGTACAGAAGCCAGATGTTTGGGGATAGCATTGAGCGGTTAACATTTTTTTTACTTGGCAGCTGAAAAGAGCAAAGTGTGACAGCTACTTTGTCTAAACTCAGGTTAGTCTCCAGGCAGCCTGTCCCTGCATCCTTGGAGTGTGTCATCCTGCTTCTCAAGTCAAAAGTTAGCAGCCACCTGCTTTTTCCGCTAACTTTGGGTCACCTCATCATAATAGGACATACAAATCATAAATGAATTTAATGGAAGAATGCTAGAATTTTCCTTTTATAAATTAACCAAATTATAATGTCTGTTGTACTGTTTATTTTATATATTTCCTGGTTAATAGTTCTCATAGTTTGCAGTTTGGGCTTGGGCTGTATTTTTACAACACTTTAGTAATGCTTTTGAATATAACACTGATTAACAATGGTTTTGAATGATTTTTTTTCCACTGAAGAATTACCCTTTTATACTCTAAAAATCAGACTTTGTCGCCACTTTCCTTTTATTTCTTTGTTTCTTTTTTCTTCCAAAATCCTTTCTCTCTCTCTCTCTCTCTCTCACACACACACACACACACACACACACACACGCACACACACTTTCTATCTCTCCTGCTTTTTGGGCCACACTCACTCGGCCATGCTCAGGGACCTTATGTGGTGCCAGGGATCAAATCTGGGTGACCCACACATAAGACAAGACAGCACCACCCAGTATGCTCTCTCTCTGGCCCATTCTTTCTTGCAAATTCTTACCTACAGTTATGGAATCAGGTAGTCCTTTGCTGCTTTCCAGTGAAGAACTGTTTTCTTCCTGCCTCGATTAGCCTATAGTCAAACATGCTGCCCCCCCAACCAGAGCCCCAGTCCTGTTGCACCACCAGGAAGATTTGAAAGACAGAAAATTCTCACTTGAGAGGGCCGAGAGCCAATTTATTGTCCCTAGAAGGAGCAGAGTGGGGACTGGCTGGGGAGACACTCTGAAGCAGTCTGGGTGCTGGGGCCACCCTGGACAGTGGTCAGCTGGGGGTGCTGGCCTGGCGGTCTCCCAGCTCGGACTCTGTGGGGGTGACATGATCCGGCCATGCAGGCCTGACAGTTAGGTACTCACGGCTGTACCCAGCAGTGTACCACTTGGTGTTGAACTCAGCACCATCTCTCCAACAGGACATGCCAACTCTTTTAGAGAGAGGAGTTTGGGGGTCTTTGCTGTCCCAGGGGTCAGCCCCAAGGCCTCACACAGGCATGGCAGGTGCTCCACCCTCAGTGCTCTGCAGTAGTTTCACCAGGAATTGCCCCGTTGTTTCAGTAGAGGACAGCCACACCAGTTTGCTGCCTGTCAGCGTGGTTTGAGCTTCACTGCCCCCCGCCGCTCGCCAGCACTGGCTGTTTCCACTCTTCCTTACAGACCCTCTCATGGCGTCACATGGTAGCACGCATAGTTTGAATTTGCATCTCCCTTAGGGTATGTAGGCTGGAGCCTTTTTCACATACCTGTGGGCTTTTGCGTGCTCTACGCATCTTGAATAGATTTTAGTTAGACCGGTGGCTTACTGTGAAGAATGTAGGCATGGAACATTGCTGAGCTATGTAGAAACTAAGATGATCTATCTTTTGGGGAGCGGAGGGAGCAGCCCCTCCAAGTGGGGCTCAGACCAGGAACCCTTCTGGCCGTTCTCAGCCGAACTTCCTGCCAGGGTCTGAGGCTGCAGTGATGCTCGGAACTCCAGGGCCCCCCAGGCATGTTCCTGGGGGTCCTCTAGGGCTTTAGGATGTGGTACTTGGGAAGTGTGCAGTGCCAGGGATCTAACTGGGGCATCCGGCCTGCACGGAACCCCTGTACTTCTCCTAGGCCTCCCCCAAAGGAGGTTGAAAGCTACGGCCTTGCTGGCAAGTGCTCGTTGGTACTCTTTGCCTTCCAGTGCTCCTGGGTGATCATAGCTGCATCTGTCCTTAGTGTATCTTGATTCTTTGACTGCTTTCCCAAACCTAGGATTGGCCTCCAAGAAATCTGTGAGTAACGGAAGAAAACATAGCGCTGGAAAAGACTATTCTCCTGAGCCCTTACCACCTGGCGTGTCTGGCTTCCTGCCCTGGCGCACCGCGCATCGTGCCAGAAGAAATAGGTAGATGTTTTCATTTCCTGTCTGCAGGCTCTCTGAGTCCTTGATTTGGAACTTCCAGCGTGGGAGCTTTCGCTGCTGGCTTATGCGGAAACAGAGAATTCACATATATTTCTGCCTAATGGGTCCTTGAAGGAAGAAAAGCAAAAAACCAACCGTAGTTGGGAATTTTACATTATTTCCTGTCATAGCAAAATATAGTAACCCTGTGGGGGTCCAGGAGATTTGAAAGGATGTCCAGTGGTCGAGGGATGGAGCTCTGCAGAAGAGCACTTGCCTTGCAGGTGTGAGGCCCTGGGCTCAATATGAGAGAGAAAGAGAGAGGGGGGATAAGGAGGAGAGAGGAGAGAGTTTTCCTTGAAAGTGGGTGCTATTATATCAAGCCTTACGAACAGAGGGAGAACTTTCGTTAGGTAGGAATAGGACGAGGAAGCATTTTACAGAAATAGTTTAGCAGAATGGGTGAAAAGTCTGGAATAGACTGGCGGTGTCAGCCTTCTAACCTAGCCCACATTTTAGTGAATCTGTTGTTGTGAACCACATTGAATTAGTTTTCACTGGGTACTTAATGGATAACTGTTCATAGTGGTTTTTGTTATAGGGGTGGCTTGTAAAATTATACAGGGTGAATTAGATTGTTATTTTTATTCTCAAGTACATAATTGGTTGTATTAAAAGTATTGGGGATTAGCAGTTATTTGAAAAATAATTGAGGGCCTGGGCAAGAGTACAGTGGGTCAAAGACCTTGCATATAGTTCACAAAGGTTTAATCCCTGGCACTGCATCTGGTCCCCTAAGCCCACCAGGAGTGAGCCCTGAACTCCAGATGTGGCACAAAAATGAGAGACAGAATTGATTGAAAATTAGAGGATAGGTTGCAGAGTCTGTTTTATTTCTTACAGTAATTTGATGTTGATAATCTTTGTTGAACACAGATTTTTTTTCAAACACTAATATGATTTATTACTGTGTGTTCATTAAATACAGTCATTCATTTTAGTTGTACAGATTTGTGACTTGGTGTCTTCTAATGTCACTTATGACTTTGTACTTCATCCTGGTCATGAAGACTCAGTGAGGGAAGGGGATCAGTGTCACCAGTTGGTGGCGGTTAGACTAGAGATCTCAGTCTTCCCAAATGTAGGAACCACAGCTCTAGAGTATTTCACAAAGCCAGTCTGCTAACTTCAGCTTTCTGCATAGCAAAGACTTTTTCAAGTCTTTACTTTGAATTTGTTCTTTGCATAGTTCCTTGTGGATACTATGTGTAACACTAACAGGTTTTAAGTTGGGTTAACTGGTGGTATATTGACATCAAATTTGTCATTAACTCAATTTATCATTATTTTTCTAGGTGTTTCCCATTAACTAAAACTCACGAGGACTATAATCAGTTACAGGTATGCAGTGACATATTTGTAATGTGTGGGGGTCGGTGTGGGAAATGGTCCCTTGAGCATCACACATGGTCCCTTGAGCATCACCAGGGATCACTCCTGAGCGCTGAGCTAGGAGTAGTCCCCAAGAATGTCCTGGGTATGGCTCATAATCAAAAAGATGAATGTATGGAGCTTGGTGAACCACTCTGAAGATGTCACCAGGTGACGTGGGCCTTAGGGTTTCATGTGCAGGCAAGGAAGCTTTTCTCCAGCCCTTGAATCAGCTGTTTGGCAAAAGGAATTTGACAACCATTTCAATACATGAACTGTCATCCTTAAGAGTGTTTCCAAGAAATGCTATTTGGGGCTAATGTACATTTCAAATCCTAAAGCCAAAACAAGGCCCCAAACTGCAAAACTTCTGTTTTATTGGGCCTGTCTTTTCCCCCAAGGGGAGACACACACACACACACACACACACACACACACACACACACACACACACACACACACACACACACACATCCCACATATATATTGCTGCCAGTTTGGAAGTGGACCAGTGTCCTGTGTCACTCTCTCTCTCTCTCTCTCTCTCTCTCTCTCTCTCTCTCTCTCTCTCTCTCTCTCTCTCTCTCTCTCATTCACGCTCTGCTACCAGTTTGACAGCCAACCAGTGTCCTGTATCAGACTCCGGCCTGACCCACAGCCAGTCCCATTCCTCCCAGCCTGCATCCTCAGCCTTGCCTCTGACTGTGCCTGGCTGGCATAGAATTCCTGGGAGGCCCCACAGTCACCTGGCTGAGTCCCAAGACCTTGAGAAAAGTCACAGGGTAGCAGTGTTGGCCCCCGCATGCCCACAGCAGTGTTCACAGCCCAGTGACTGGTCTCTGCTCAGGTCCGTAGTCCCAGTACACTTGTTTGTTCTGAAGACTTTTGCTTTTTTGGGATAGGGACCACACATAGAAGTATGTCTGCATGTGTGGGGTGTGGGGGACGGAGCCCCTGGGGGAGAGTCTGGTCACTGGGGGCACCATTGTTCCGTGGAGCTCAGCTGCATGCACATACAGGCATTTTTTTTCTTCCACTTGGTCTTCCAAGCCCCTGAGGTGTAGACTTTGCTCTCCATGCTGTTTGTGACCAGGTTAAGTTTCTTTTAATTTAATTTTTTCATTTTTTATTTTTTGTATGCCAGGGCCTCTCACAGGCAGGTGTGTGCTCTGACCGCTCCATTTTCTTTCTTTCTTTCTTTCTTTCTTTCTTTCTTTCTTTCTTTCTTTCTTTCTTAATGTGGGAGTACTGCTGTTTATTTAGCCACTGACTAGGCTGATTGAATTTTGCATGAACTCCACCTTACTTTTACTGTTTACTGAGATTGTATCGGTTCATCACACCCTGCGTTGGCAGCAGACATGCATGTACCACACTCCAGTTCACGCAGTGCCGTGACCCCTGCGGCCAATCCTGGTGCTTCTCGAGCCCCTGGACTTGCTTTTCTCTTTTCTACCACTTTGTTTCTTTACACCCCACATGCTACTTTCTAGGACTTGTCATTCTAGTATCTGTGGACATGTTTCACATAGCATATTTCTCTCCAGTTTCATCCTTGTAATCACAAATGACCAAATTCACGCCTTTTTTTTTTTCTTAACCTAAAAAGTTCCATATTCTCCTAGACTTTGCTTCTGGTGCTGTAGAACACGCACGTTTATTATCTTGTGGCGCAGAGCTGTTCTGAGAGAAAGATACTTACCTGGGATCGTCACTTGGCTCCTGTGAAATCCCTTTAATTAAATAATGCAGGCAGTCCCTAACAGGAACAGAAGCCTCACTACATAAAGCCATAGTGAGTCACTGTCATTCCATTGGCACTGCTTGGTTTAGACGTAGGGACTAGGGAAGGGCATTTCTCTGTACTGATTAGACAATGCAGAAGGGTCGGTGTTCTTCAGTAGCCCTGATGTTTAGTATCTGCTGCATTTTCCCTCTCCCACACCCCTCCTCCCATCTCAGCCACGTTTCCCCGTGACCGTGACCTTGGAGAGCCCTTCCTCCTCAGACGTTGAAGAGATCGACAGCTTCTCGGACAGTGTTCAAGAGGCGCCTTGGTGCCCCAATGTGAAGCAAGAAGTGCTGCAGGTAGGTGGCATTTCCGACTCCCTTTCACTGGCAGACACTGGATTCCAGCACTGTGCATCCCTTTAAGGGTGCTGGGGCCTAGACCAAGGTACAGGACAGAATTTTAGACAACAGGGGACGAAGGTCAGAATGTGAGTCTGTGACATGCTCTTTCCCCTCGGCGTCCTGGTGCACGGGATTCAGGGAGAATCACGATCCCCGTCAGCTCCAGAAGGCCATTTTTAAGGGCCACAGTCAGCAGATTTGGGGCTTTTATTAGACTGGGAAGTCCACAGTTCTTGCAGAACTTTTTTTTTAATACAAAGGAAAACAGAATGTGGGTTCTAGGTAAAAGTTAAGAATTGAGACTGCGGGGGCTGGAATGATAGCAAAGTGGGTAGGGTGTTTGCCTTGCACACGGCTGACCCGGGTTTGATTCCCAGCATCCCATATGGTCCCCTGAGCACTGCCAGGAGTAATTCTCGAGTAACCCCTGTGCATCGCTGGGTGTGACCCAAAAAGAAAAAAAATTGATACTGTGTCCTTTTCCCACTCTGGAGAAGCCCATGTTCTTAAACACATATTTCTCTCAAACACATCTCTCTCTCTCTCTCTCTCTCTCTCTCTCTCTCTCTCAGACTCTCTATCTGACTCTCTCTCATATCTCTAGATTCCTTTCGATAAAATTTTTTTCTTCAGGTAAACAAAATTTATTATTATTTACTAAAATAAAATTTAAAAATTCAACAAGCTAAATATAATGTTTAACAGTTTATGCCATTTATAATTTTTTGTTTTATTTTTTATTTTATGAAGTAATTCACAATATTTGACTACATTTAATATTCGAACACCAATCCCACCACCATCACACCTTCTGGTACCACAGTATTTTGGATGTTTCCATCCTGAACCCAAACCCCTGCCCCAAAAAAGATAGTATGAAATTATTTTGTATTGTTTGTTATGAAAAACGGCAGTATACTTGCGCCTACGTAACGGAAAAATTGGTTTTCATAATATTTTTACCTAAAAATACTTTACTTTTATTGTAGAGCTGGTAATTTAATAAGTTAAAGGAAACTTATGTTTTATGTTAAAAGATGGGAAAGGGGGATAGGAGAGTTGTGACCATGACCAGCAATACTCAGGAATTATTCCTGGCTGTGCTCTGGAGACCATATGGAATGCCAGGGATCGAACCCTGGTTGGCCGCATGCAAGGCAAATGCCCTACCCACTGTCCTGTCACTGCAGCTCCTCATGTTAAAATTATTAATGTGATTTGATTTTAGCATGAAACGGTACAGAACTTGGTCATCCCATCTTCTAGTACCATGAAAATAACTGTTTGAATTTAAAGAAAAGGAAAGCCATATTTTCTTCTTTTCTTTCATTAAAGTAATGATGTTTATATAAGATTAATATAAGTATCTAGAAAAGTATAGCATGTCACAGGAAGAAATGTATAATGTGGTAAGGTAAAGGTAAAGGTAAAGGCCCTCCCGTTGTTCGTCGATTTGCTCGAGCGGGCCCAGTAACATCTCCGCTGGAGACTTTGTTGTTACTGTGTCTGGCATATCGAATACGTCACGGGGAGCTTGCCTGGCTCTGCCGTGCGAGCGAGATACTCTCGGTAGCTTGCTGGGCTCTCCAAGAGGGGCGGAGGAATCGAACTCGGGTCGGCCATGTTGGCTGCGTGCAAGGTAAACAAGCATAATCCTTTCATCTTAAATATGAGCACCTACAGTCTGTAGTACTTGAGTGGCTTATTAAAAGACAAGATCCTAGGGCCAGACAGATAGTACCGTGAGTAAGACACTAGCCTTGCATATGGCTGACCCAGGCTTGAGCCCTGGCACAACATATGTTCCCCGAACCACCACCAGGAGTGATTACTGAGCATAACAGAGCCAGGAATAAGCCCTACAAATTGACAGATGTTGAGACTGGAGCACTAGCACAGCAGGTAGGGTGTTTGCCTTGCACGCAGCCAACCTGGGTTCAATTCCCAGCTCCCATATCATCCCCCGAGCACTGCTAGGAGTAATTCCTGAGTGCATGAGCCAGAAGTAACCCCTGTGAGTCACTGGGTGTGACCCAAAATGCAAAAAAAAAAAAAGAATTGACAGGTGTTGTCCCCAAACCAGGTTGGAGCAATAGCACAGCGGGTAGGGCGTTTGCCTTGCACGCAGCCGACCCAGGTTTGATTCCTCCACCCCTCTCAGGGAGCCCGGCAAACTGCCGAGAGTATCTCGCCCACACGGCAAAGCCTGGCAACCTACCCGTGATGTATTCGATATGCCAAACACAGTAACAACAAGTCTCATAGTGGAGACCTTACTGGGCCTGCTTGAGCAAATCGATGAACAATGGGAGGACAGTGCTACAGTGCTACAGTCCCCAAACCAGAATAATGATAATAAATTCACAGATGGAAGTTTGTCTGTATTAAATATTTCTCTCCAGAAAGGAGGTACCACTAGCTTCTCAGTAGTGGCTTATGAGTCTCCACCCCCTTAATTATGTATATACTAGTGATAAGTAAAAAGTTGAAGTGCTTTGTTTTGAGTTTAAATGGTTTGATTGTTTGAAAGTCTTTTAAATAAGTAAATATGACATATGTTCTTTATTAAGTACATGTGTGTTTAAATTATTATAAGAAACAACACCGAAATAGTTTGAGTTATTTTGCTCATGAACTTTTTTATATTTTATTTTATAGTATTTTATAGTATATGTTATATGATTTTATGGTCACTGTCATTGTCACTGTCATCCCGTTGTTCATTGATTTCCTTGGGCAGGCACCAGTAACGTCTTCATTCGTCCTAGCCCTGACATTTTAGCAAGTGCCACATTGGAGGATCTTTCAGGGTCAGGGGAATGAGACCCATCATTATTACTGGGGTTTGGCATATCAGATATGCCACAGGGAGCTTGCCAGACTCTGCCGTGTGGGCAGGATACTCTCGGTAGCCTGCCAGGTTCTCTGAGAGTGAGAACTAGACAATAAGAGATTGCGCGCCGCAAATGCGGCCGCATGCTTCCGAGAGCTTGGTTTTATAATATATGGTGTGTATTTATAATATACTATTCAGTAGAATCTGATAGTATATTACTTGCCTTTTGTAAATGCAGTAACTTAAAATAGCATTAATTGGGAACAGAGAGATAGTATGATGTTGAGATGCTGAACTTGCATGGGGCCAACCCTGTCTCTATCCAACGTACCACATGTGGTCCCCACGCACTGCTAGGGGTTATTACTCTTTTTTCTTTTAGTTTCTGTTTTGTTTGGGGGCCACACCTGGATATGCTTGGGGCTACTTCTGTCTCAGCTCAGGAAACCCTCCTCGTGATTCTCAAGTGACCATATGGGATTCTGGGGATTGAAACTGTCCTGGCCATGTGCAAAGCAAGCTTCACTACACTATCTTTCTGGGCCCTGGACTGTCACTCTTTAGTAGAGCCCAGAGCCAGGAGTAACCCCTGAGTATGGCCAGGTATGTGTTTATGCCCCACACCATGCCCTCCCCCCAAAAAAGACTGAGAAGCAACCAGAATGTTTATTAGCTTACCGTTCTGTAGGTTGGGGTTGGAATGCCCCATGAAGGATTCTCTGCTCAGAGTCTCATCACGAAGCAATCAGGATGGCAGACTCCCCCGAGTCTGAGCATATCAGTTCATTGGCACAGTTCAGCTTCTGGAGGCACAGGACAGAAGCTCGTCAGGGGGCTGCTTAAACTCTCTAGAAGACTCTGGCCTGCATTCTTTGCTCAAAATCCTTGTGTTTTATTTCTGTAAAGCCCCCTCAGGAAGGAAGATGGTTCCTTTTAATGGACAGTTTAGTTAGGTCATGATTACCTGGGCTCATTTTCATATCTGACAATGACCTACGGACTTCAGAGCTTTGTTCATACCTTACGCATCTTTTCACCATAGCACCTGGGTCAATGTGTGTTTGCATAAGTGGGAAGTTTAGGTGCTCCGGCAGGTTAGGAATCTTAGAGGCTGATTTTAGAAATTTGCCTGCAATAAAGTCTTACTTTCAGGGATCTTAGAATCTTCAAGGAAGTTTGCTGATACCCATTCAATGTTGTGGATTTTGGGTGAGCGAGAACAGCTCTCTGAACCATTTGACAAGGGCTGGAGCAGGAGTACAGCAGGTCTGGCTTTTGCCTTGCTCGCATCCAACCTGGGTTCAGTCCCCAGCATCCCACATGGTACCCCAAGCCCACCGGTGTGGTTTAAAAATCAGAAAATAATAATAAAGACAAGTAAATGGACAGAAATGGCGAACAGTTTCTTGAGACGTGCCCTTGGTTCATCAGCTTTCATAGCTGTGGATCAGAAAAGGAAGTCAGTGATTGTCCTCTCCTTCCAGGGGTCCTTGACCAAGTGATTGAATACCTAAGAGACTCCTAGAACAGTGCTGGACATATACATTCCTTTAAAGTACTTCCTTTTTAAGAAATGTATTTGAATGCAACTTTATGACTTAGGTGTGTTAAACATCTTGATGGGGCTTCCTCTTAGAAATGGACCCTCACAAAAGGGTCTTTTCTTTTTCTTGTCCTTAACTTTGTATTTCTGACATAGGTCTTTTATAAAGGTGAGTTGCCTTTATTTTCTTCCAGAAGGAATGGTATTTAAATCTTTAACCCAATTTCATGTAATTTGTTGATTAGATTCACTAGCATCACAAGAGACCACAAGTGTGGACTCTAAACCTGAAATCTGAATTCATTTCTGACTCCGCTCTCAAATAAAATCCTAAAAATTATTCGGTAATAAATTTATTTCTTCATACTAGGGAAAACTGGACGAATGCCTGAAGCAGTTAAGAGAGGAGAGAATAATAAGACTTAAAACTGATAGAAGAGTCAGTGAGGTAAATAAACTTTTTTTAATACTTTTGAGAGTTTTTCTTTATTTTGCTTTGATTGTGAGTTACAGTTTGTGGTTTAAATACAGTACATATAACTTGTAAACTTCAATATGAGAAAATATCATAGCAACTTCATACTGTATTTTGGTCTCATGAGTTAATCACAGAAAACATGATTTAAAAATGAGAAAGGTGATTTTCTGTGTTTGTGTCTTATGTGACTTAATTTACCATTCACGAAAGTACTTTGCTGACATTTATTAGACCATTTACTGACAGTGAGAAAATGAATTGTCTAAATAAGTGTAAGATACGGAAAACTGCTAGGAGCAAAATAAAAAGTAAAAATATACAATGGAAATTACATTAGAATAATGTACCGTGAGAGCAAGACAAGTTCTAGAAAGTTTTATATAAATATAGTTTATTATTACAAGGTGAATTTCATGAGGAGTTTTTGTACTTCCCTCCTTAGGAAAATTGAATTGGAGAATACCCATTCAATAACTATTGAGTTCCTACTTATGCAAAACAAAAAGTGTCTCATGGGAATGAGTATTTTTAAAAAACCAAGGAGAATCTTCCTAAATATACAACTAGTATCATTTAGGACTTCATTACTTACACATTGAATATTTTGTTCACTAAAGTTAAGCTTTAGCATTTAAGAGAATCGTAATAGTAGGCTTTATTGAAATCAAAGTGCATTTCATTTTCTAGTGTAATGGAAACCTTAAGCTAATTTTCTAATCATGGAGAATGAGATATGTCAGTTACTAACATAGAAAATAAGGTTTGAAGTGTGATATTTTTGAAAATCATTAATAAGTTAATTTAATTTTTCTATACATCACCTAATTGTTTATAGGGAGATTTGATCTGTCTCTGGGTTTTAATAATTATGTGATATGGTCCCTGTCTTTAATGATGGAGAATTGGATTCATTGCAGATTCTATTTCAAGATGTTTTATTTTTATTGTGTTATTTAAAAACTTTTGGTGACAATAACATCAGACCTTTTCAATCTTCTCTTATAGCTTGAACATGAAAATGCCCAGTTAAGAAATATAAATTTCTCTTTATCTGAAGCCCTTCATGCACATTCGTTGACAAGCATGGTTCTGGATGATGAAGGGGTTTTGGGCAGCATTGAGAGTTCTTTTCAGAAGTTTCATGCTTTCTTGGATCTCCTTAAAGACGCTGGGTTCGTACACTTCTTCCCATGATTTGTATTGTTTTACTGTTTGGAGATTTGAGGCCACGCCTGGCGGTGCTCAGGGCTTATTCCTAACTCTGCAACTCAGAGATCACTCCTGGCTCTGCTCAGGATCTGCAAGTAGTGCCGGGGATCAAGCCTGGGTTGGCCACTGCAAGACAAGTGCTTTCCACCCTGTACTATCTCTGCTGCCCAGAGTCATTGATTTTCAATGAGGAATCAAAATTCCTAAGCTCCCTAAAACGGCAAACCTGCTTCCGTAGAGATCCCGTGAGAAAGCAGTAATTGAAACCAGTCAGAAGTGCAGAGGATTCTGCAGGGTAGATAAAGTCAGTCTCTGCTGGGAGGCATTTTGCTAGAAAAAAAAAGATTCTTTTAGAACTGGAGATCGATAACTAATGGAGTGATATTTTGCAGGTGAAGTATTGGGAAAGAAGGAACAGATTTGTCCTTGGATGCTGGGGAAGGGGCAAAAAGAGGTGCGGGATCAGAAGCACAAGGCTGCTAGGGGGAAGGTGTTTAGGAAGGAAAGGAAGGGAAATAAGATGGCGTGATGTTGGGTACACTGTTGGGACGAGAGTTCTTGAAGGAAGGATGATCTGATGTGTTCCTAGAGCTTGATCTCAAAAGGCCGGAACCTGGGCTGGAAAGTTAGGACAGCGGGGAAGATGAAGATGCCCGCCTTGCACACAGCCAATCCAGTTCTGACCCTGGGCACCACATATGACAGTTGGTCTCTCCAGCCCTCGAGAAATAATCCCTGAGCACAGAGCCAGGAGTACCCTGAGCACCACCAGGTGTGGCCCAGAGATGAACAGGGAGGGGGAGGCAGAGCCAGAAATAGCTCCTTCACTGCCCTGTGTGGCCCCCTGTATTACTGTATCACTGCCATCCCGTTGTTCATTCATTTACTCAAGCGGGCACCAGTAATGTCTCCATTCGTCCCAGCCCTGAGATTTTAGCAGCCTCTCCTTACTCGTCTTTCCCAACATTGCCGTTTTGGAGGTTCTTTCAGGGTCATGGGAACGAGACCCGTTATTGTTACTGTTTTTGGCATATCGAATACGCCACGGGGAGCTTGCTAGGCTCTGCCATGGTGTGTGTGGCCCCCTAATGAAAATAAACAGGGCTGAGAAGTAAGGAGACGTGAGGCTTTCAGAGGATACTAGATTTTGATACTTGAGAAGACACTCCAGTGGTGTTACACTGCACATATTTAAAGCCTGGCTTCCATCCTGGCACCTCCAGAAAAGTGTTGAAAATATTTCGGAAGCATTTCATTAACTTTTGTAATGTCAGATCTAAACTGGCTTAGCATCATCTGTGTCTAATAATCCTGGCCTTCCCTCCTCTCCTTTCCCCAGGCTTGGCCAGCTAGCATCAATGGCTGGTATAGATCAGTCAGATTTCCACGTACCGGGTCATCCCCAAATGAATTCCACCCTTAGTAGTCCACTAAAAGAAGAGAAGAAGACCACCGAAGAAGAAAAATCAGAATCAAAGCACAGTGCCTTAGGACAAATGCAGAATATCCAAGTAAGTGGACAAAACTTGGCCAAGTCAGAGGACTTAGCAAAAAAAGGAAATGACCAAGGCAGAAAAAAAATATTAGCAAGCTGTCCCTAATCACTCAGAGCCTCCAAAACTGGAAAACTCCTGCCCAGAACTCTCTGCTGCTTTTCAAACCTAAGACTTTAAATAAGTGCTGATTTTGTGATATTGTAATCGTGGATATAAGTACACGGAAAGTTCTTTTGACAACTTATCATTCAGAACACACTGTCCTTAGACAAAAATAAGAGATTAGTGAAAATATTCCCAATTCTGAGTGGTATAAATGTATTCTATTCATATCTCATCTAGGTTTCTATTTGTATGCAGTCAGCTTACAATGAAGGAACACGAATGAAGGTACAAGTTGCAATACAGCTAATGTTGAATTCAGTGACCCAGATAAAACTAAGAGGCAGTAGATCCTTGAAAATCGTGCAGTTGTGGGAATGAGGGCAAAGCCTGTCGGCCCTTCCTCCACCCTTCCTCACAGCCCACAGCTCTACTCAACCACCTCAGACCGGAACTGGCAGCTTGAGAACAGTCAGTCACAACTTGAATACTAAAAAAAAAAAAAAAATCTGGGGCTAGAGAGATGGTACAATGGGCAGGACTTGAAAGCTCACCCAGGTTTGATCCCTGGCATCTCAAATGGACTCCTGAGCACTGCCACAAGTAATTCCCAAGTGCAGAGCCAGGTATAAGCCCTGAGGATCGCCAGGTGCGGCCTCAAAACAAAACAGAACAGGGGCTGGAGCAATAGCATAGCAGCTAGGGTATTTGCCTTGCACACAGTCGACCTGGGTTCGATTCCCAGCATCCCATATGGTCCCCTGAGCACCACCAGCGGTAATTACTGATGCAGAGCCAGGAGTAACCCCTGTGCATCGCTGGGTGTGTCCCAAAAAGCGAAAAAAAAAAAAAGAACAGAAACAACTTGGATACTGATGCATGTGTCTGGAATAGAGAGGGGGAATTAATGTTCTTAGGAGGTAAGAGAAAAAAGGTTGTGAGTTATGATGATCCAGACACCAAACTCTAAAAATGTAGTGGAAACAACCTTGAATATTATATAATATTGGAGATCATTTAGAAAGAGAAATACAAGTTGTAAATAAGAAAAGGCTCTAAAATCTGCTAGACAATGTGTAGGTTGCTGTAATAAAATCATGTAATAAGGGCCAGAGCTCTAGTTAGCAGGAGGGCACTTGCCTTACTTGAGGTCTACCAGGTTTCATGCCTGGCACTCTGTATGGTGCCCTGAGCACCTCACAGAGTTAACTGAAATTTTGAGTTTCTATTTTCTAATGTGTTAATCACTGAATTTTTTGCTTTCTTTTCTTTTGTTTTCCCCTCCAGTTTCAGCAAATCACCAGTGATGCCAGAATTCCTTTGCCCCTTGACACCTTCCCGGTTGCAGTTTCTACTCAGGAGACCTTAGACACTTGCGAAGACAGCGTGGAAATCCCTACCTCGGAGCCACAGGAGAAATCTTTGCAGGAATTTATTGCGCAGACATGTTCTTCGGGAGATGTGATTTCCGGGAATGCAAGTCCAAAAAATGAGGAGGAGTTGTCCAGACATAGCGGATCATTTTCCGAGAAAATGGCCAAGACAGGTGAATATACAAAGAAAGCCCACTCTGTTAAGAGCCAGCAAGAAAAGGACCTGCGTTCCCACTCCAGCTCATCTGTTAACGGGAAAAGCAAAGGGATTGGACGGAAAAGCTCTTTGGTTAGTGAACCAGTTAAAAGCGAATCTCTGAAAAAACACATTTCTGTTAAGAAAGAAAGTAGAATAGTGACTGTTTCATCCAAGACAACCACAAGCAAACTCAATGTATCTGAAAATGACAGTGTTGGGTCTGATTTTGAATTTCAAGAAAGCATCCATACTCTGTCACACCTGACATAGGTGGGAATCTTCTAGAATTATGTTTTTGCCTTGAAACTTGAATAAATTTCTTATCTTTTCCTTATGGCTTATGGTGTTTTAAAATGTAGCAATAGATACCACTAGAGGAAGATTTTTCTTTTACGTAACAAAGCTGTTGGTGTCTTTTTCCATTTATGCTTCACACCATTCATCCAATATTTACAGAGTCTCGGTTATATGATATTGATTTAGACATGGTAACTTCGAGCAATAAAGACAAAGCCTGTATTTCATGAAACTAATACTCTGTGTAGAAAGGAAAAATCAGCAACGCAGTGAAATGAGGGATGGAAGCAAGCAACTGGGCTTGCTTACCCTGTATTTAAATATATAAATACGATATACTTGACTAGACATTATTGATAAATCCTCGTTTATAGTAACCAGAGCAGCAAACATTCCCCAAGGCCCTTAGCCATGTTGATGGTTTATAGTAACCCTGTGAGGGAAGAAATTATTATTATATCCATTTTACAGAGAAGTCCAAGGAGTCATTGGACTGTGCCCCAATTCCACAGCTACAAATAAGGGGTTGAGCTGAAATACAAACCAGAGTGTCGCCTCTAGGAAAGGGTGGTCCTTAGGTTCAGTGAGACTGAATGACTTGAAAGGTAAGATCAAACAAAAGCTAAGGGCCATATCCCTTCTGGAAGCTCTTGGCTTGATTATCACCAGAGAGCTCTTGCCATTCTGTTCAATGAATAGTGAGAGGAAGAGGCCAAGAACCAGGTAGTGTTTGTGCTCTTTGTTGCAGGATGAGGAGACACAGCAGATGCTTCTGTGAGGGGAAGACTCCGGAACTCGGTCAGGGTTTGGTGAAGAGGCAAGAGAGCTGCAGGGCCGAGAAAAGTTCATGTAAACCGGAAACACAGAAGTCTTTAAGGACTACTTAGAACTGGGTGGAGACGGTGATGAAGGAAAGAGATGCTGAGACACAGGGGAAGAGCAGGACCAAATGTAGGGTGGTGAGAGGTGTGTCTGCGGAACTGTGGCACGGGTGGTTTGGAGCTCGAGGAATGTTAGGCGGCAGCTCTGAGAACCTGTGTGGCATAAAGCCGTTGTTCTTCCTCAGGAAATAACTCCACGCGGGGAGTCGGGTAATCAGATTCGGATTTCAGATCATTAGCTTCAGCTGGGAAAGGAATTCAAAGAAGTGCCAAACCTTGTTTCTTAGTGTTAAGTGGAACTTAACGCCTGCTCACTCCCCCCCTCCCCCCACGGTCCCAGGAAGGCCTTTGCAGGCGAACACCAAGGAGACCCCAGTGCAAATAAAGGCACATGCGGTTCCTTATGCCAGGGCTGCTTTTGGTTGTTAGTATGACTCCCCTCAGACAGGCATAGTGCTATGCGGCCCTTCTCACATGTATTTTGATTAGAGAGTCCTTAATTTTAATTTTGGGTTTTTGATCTCCTGCCCCTGCGCCTGGCTGTCCTCGCCAAGGCCCCTTGGAGGAGAGCGGGTTGAGTTTTCCTCCCCGCCCCAATGAGGGCTCCGGCAGCCGAAGACCTCCAGAACCAGCCACCACCATGCTGAGACCACTCTCCACACGCATGAAGGTACCGGCAGAGGAACAAAGGCATGCAGGTCCCGGGGCTGAGATCTCCAAGCCTGCTCCGATCGGGGCTGAGCATCCTCACTCCGGCCCATGATGATTAATTTTTAAAATATTCTCAAACTACCTAACTGGAGAGCTAGAGCGATAGCACGCGGTAGGGCATTTGCCTTACACGTGGCCAGCCAGGCAGATGCGGGTTCGATTCCTCCACCCCTCTCGGAGAGCCTGGAAAGCTACTGAGAGTATCTCTCCCACACGGCAAAGCCTGGCAAGCTACTCATGTTGTATTCGATATGTCAAACACAGTAACAACAAGTCTCACAATGGAGACATTACTGGGCCCACTCGAGCAAATTGATGAACAATAGGGAGGACAGTGCTACTTAACTGGAATGTATGATTTCACATGGGTAACTGAACATGTCCTTATCTCTCACAGAATCCCTTTGAGCTAACTGGAAAAATATTAAAACAGGTGAGAATCAATAGATTTGGGAGGCCAGAAAATAAACAATGGGGAATTAGATCAGTCCATGAAAGAATTGAACAGCTGAGACTTTCTGCTGGTCTTTGAATAATCTCGTTCTTGGAGTATGCCCAGAATATGAAGTAAGCAGAATGAATTCAACTGAAGCTTAAATTTGTGGGGCCCAAGGTTTGATTGAAGAGCCCATAATATTCTGTGCATGGGAATAAAGATTACGGGGGAAAAACAATCCCAGGGAGTACAGGGATTGGGAGGTGGTGAACGCACAAATACTTGTTGAATTGAGACTATTGAAGATCAGATTGGGGCAGACAACTAGATTCCTCAGCATAAACCTTTCCTTAAAATTACTAAGCAAACTGAACAGTGAATCTCTGCAATATTTTAAATCAAAGGCATTGATGATACTTTGGGAAACACCATCCCACTGCACAGGCACCAGAGATCTCTCTTTTTAATCAGGAAAATTCTAAACATCATGTATATGTGAAAGTAAAGTGAACTGAAATTGTAGGTTTCAACACAAATGGAGGACAGGCTATAGAAAGAAGAATTGTTTTCTGAATTTTGTCTTACTTGAGGGAAGGATCTAGTGTTTATCTCTACGTGATGATTAAAAAGATCTATTACATGGCTGGAGAGAGAGTACAATAGGTAGGGCGCTTGGCTTACATACAGCTGACCCCCAAGTCTAGTCCTGGAACCCCAGGTGGTCCCCAACCCTTGCTAGGAGTGATTCTTGAGTACCGAGCCAGGAGTGGTACCTGAGCATAGTGGATGTGGCAAAATACGAATACACTAGACCAAGAAAGCAGTTTCTACTGGGTTCAATCTCCAACATCGCATGGTCCTCCAAGCATTACCCAAGAGTGACATTGTGTACATGAAAGGTTGGTGGGCTGGAGGGATGATGCAATAGATGAGACATTCGCCTTGCTTATGGTAATAACCCCCTGCACTTCTTTGGTCACTCAAACACTGCTGGGAGTGACCCCCAGACACTGCAGGGTGTGGCTCAAAAGTTCAAATAAACAGATAGGGTAGTAAACTAAAGTAAAATAAAGATAGGTGATGCTGTAGTAAACCAGATTTTTAAAAAATTTTTTATTAGTGAAACACCATGAGATACAGTTGTAGACTTCAAATTTTTGTGCTTGGGTTTCAGTTATACAATGATCAAGTACCCATCCCTCCACCAGTGCCCATTCTCCACCACCACTGATCCAGTATCGCTCCTACCCCCCATCCCCCATCCCACCCTGCCTCTGTGGCAGGGCATTCCCCTTTGTTCTCTCTCTCCCTTTGGGTGCTGTAGTTTGCAAAAGAGGCATTGAGTGGCACTTATGTTTGGTCTATAGTCTGCTTTCAGCATGCTTCTCCCATCCTAGGAGGATCCTCCCAACACCCTTTATTTGGTGCTCCCTTCTCTATCTGAGCTGCCTTTTCCCCTAGTGTGTGCGGCTAGCCTCCAAGCCATGGAGTAAACCTCCTGGTACTTATCTTGGCTATTCTTGGGTGTTAGTCTCCTATTTTGTTTGTGTTCCCCCAGATGAATGCAATCTTTCTATGTCTGTCCCTCTCTTTCTGACTCATTTCGCTCATGATACTTTCCATGTAGTACCACTTGTATGTAAATTTCATGACTTCATCTTTTCTAACAGCTATATAGTACTCCATTGTGTAGATGTACCAAAGTTTCTTTAACCAGTCATCTGTTCTTGGGGACTCAGGTTTTTTCCAGATTCTAGCTATTGTAAACAGTGCTGCAATGAACAAACAAGTGCAGATGTCATTTCGACTATACTCTTTTGCCTCTCTGGGATATATTCTCAGGAGTGGTATTGCTGGGTCAAATGGGAGCTCAATTTCTAATTTTTTGAGAATCGTCCATACTGTTTTCCAAAAGGGCTGAACCATACCCAGAAGGAGAGAGAGAACAAAAGGGAATGCCACAGAGGCAGGGTGGGATGGGGGGGACAGGCGGGGGGTGGGAAGGATATTGGGATCAGTGGTAGTGGAGAATGGGCACTGGTGGAGGGATGGGTATTCGATCATTGTATAACTGAAACCCAAGCACAAAAATTTGTAAATCTACAACTGTACCTCATGGTGTTTCACTAATAAAAATCTAAAAAAAAAATTAATAAAAATAAAAATAAAATGTTAATACAGCAAAAAAAAAAAGGCTGAACCATGTAAAAAAAATAATGTTCATTTTTGGCTGATAAAAAGTACCATTTTGCAGAAAAACTTCTTAAAGAACATATTCACAGTTTTAAACTTAAGTTTGCAAACATATAGTAGAGTATTTCTTGTTATCCCCAAGTAGAATGTTCTATTCAGGGAGTAAAGCTCAGTGGCAGAGCATTCTTTTTTACATGTGTGGGGCCTAAGGTTCAGCTTCTGACACCACAAACACAAATAATCCTATTTAGCATGATATGATAGGTTGATTTGGGGGGTCTAGTCACTGTCACTCTCCTCCCGTTGTTCATCGATTTGCTCGAGTGGGCCCAGTAATGTCTCCATTGGAGACTTTGTCGTTAGTTACTGTTCTTGGCATATCGAATATGTCACGGGTAGCTTGCCAGGCTCTGCCATGCAGGCGAGATAATCTTGGTAGCTTGCCGGGCTCTCCGAGAGGAGTGGAGGAATCGAACTCGGGTCGGCCATGTTGGCCACTTGTAAGGCAAACGCGTTACCCCTGTGCTATGGCTCTAGCCCTGGAGATAGCATAGTGGTAGGGCGTTTGCCTTGCCTGCAGCCAGCCCAGCCAAGCCGGGTTTGATTCCTCCGCCTCTCTCAGAGAGCCCGGCAAGCTACCGAGAGTATCTCACCCACACGGCAAAGCCTGGCAAGCTACCCGTGACATATTCAACATATTCAATATGCCAAATACAGTAACAAGTCTCAAAATGGAGACGTAACTGGGCCCACTTGAGCAAATCGATGAACAATGGGAGGACAGTGTTTGTTGGGGGGTCAGGGTTTGTTGGGGGT